CATCCAACCAACATCTGGTATTGGATGAGAGAAGGAGAGATCCGAGAACCTAAATCCTGTGTGGAACTACAACTACTGGGTCTGCAGTCTACGCCACTCTCTAGTATGTATTATACTTCATGTTAATATAATATCTTAAGGTGACTGCCTACTTTTGAACGTTCGATTTCAGCCCACGATGTGCGCGCGCTCAAAAACCGCTGAAAAATCTACAAGATTTTATTGAAGAACCATACGCGTTTTGAGCTTAAACAGGGCAAAACCCTCAAATTTTGCACGGGACACGGATATTTTTTGATAGCTCATCCGAAAAAACTCCTAAAAATCTAGGTTATATCAACATTTTAGGAAAAGTTTAAATCAGTAACACATGAAAAAATAGATTTTTGTGGAGATTTTTGTTCGACTTTATGAGATTTTTTAAGAGCACCGAAACTACAAGATATGACAAATCAATGTATCTCTCTGTCTTTTCGTCGAAAATATCCATGTATTATTGTAGAAGGATTGACTAGGCTTCGTTCGTGCAATCATATAGTCTGCAAATAACTATTATCTTATGAATCTTAATTTTTTTCTAATCACTTCCGGTAGCGCAATTTTTGCTCCAAAAGCTCGTGCTTAGGCTACATTAAATGCCGATTATCTCGAAAACAAGCTCGGGACACCCAATTTTTCGGAAAATCGAAGTTTTAAAAAAAGTTTAAATTGATTTCCAAAAGTAGGCAGTCACCTTAACGCATGCTCACATGTTACAAAGAACCTTGTGATCTGAGAAAACTTTTCTCCAATCAGAATCGAGAAAATTTGCAAGTTTTCTCTTGAAATTATGGTTTGAAAAAATTCATCATTTCTACGTCATTTCTATTTCAAATCACCTGGACTAGGACTTGATCACATCCAAGCTAAAATCTATTAGTTCTTAATAACTATTATTTCTTATTAGGTGGTATTTACAGTCTTAAAATACGAGGCAAAGACCTCAAAACGTATTGCGACTTTAC